GGCTTTGAAGAGGAGCAAGGAAATAAGGAATGTAGAAAGTGTCTTGCCTGTTGGGGAAAGGCAAAAAAAAAAAAAAAAAAAAAACCAAGTATATACAGGTAATAAGTAAGTGCGAACTTACTTACTGCCTTACAAGAACTAGACAGAAACATATCCTGGTAGCAAAGAGCTATAATAAAGGAGCCTACCAGAAAGAAAGAAGGCAGCGCGCAGGTATCTGTAGACATGCTGCTTGTGAAGTGTTAACAAGAAAGAAGGAAGAGATACTAATTCATGTGCATAATGAAAATATATAAAGCTATACACAGATTGCTTAAATATGAAGATGTCTTTTTTTTTTTTTTCCTGTAGCTTTTCAGACAGTGATTGCGTTTTATGGGAGGGGAAAAAAAGAAAAATGGAATAGAGAAATTCCTTGAAATGTTCCTGTATCTCTGCTAGAACAGAACTCATCTCCCATGAGAAAAGCAATAAAAGTTATTTCCCAGCTACTGCTGGGAAAATGAAATCTTTAGCTCTGGAATTAGAAACCTTGGAAAGCTGGTACAGAATTTAAATCTGTACAAGTTTATTGACTCTGGTTTATGTGAAATTAGTTTTTTGAGCTCAATCCAATCTGCGTAGGCCTGACAGACAAAAACTCAGAAGCAGTTTACAGCTTGCACTGTCATGGTCTGTGCTATACCTGAACCACAGAATGAGGATAAATAGCTCCGGGGTAGTTCTGAACATGATTTTTAGATTTATTTTAGTCCTTCCCTATATAAGCAAGTGATGCTTTTTCTTCTAAGGAAACCAGAAAGTCAAAACTGAATCGTATAGTCTGTTCCAGAGAATGTTTGCAGGTATGTAGTCATCGAGACTTTCTTTCCCTTAATGGTATAGCAGCAATTAAACCTTAGACAACTCCAGAGCTATTTTTATAGTGAGAAAAAGGTCCATGTGCTGAAGCACAGCACTCTGGCAAAGGATAACAACTCCTTGCTGAAATACTCAAGATGTGGGATACTGATTTTTGTTCCGCGTCTCCCTTAGTGTCGGCAGGCACTGCAGCGTCAGGTTGGTCCCTGGGGCAGTGCCCAGGGTGCCTGCGTGCTTCGCAGCAGGTCTCCCAGGGTGGAAGCTCCTAAAAAGCTCCTTTGATGAAGGAGCTGCTCTTGGAGGCTTTTTGCCCAATTGAACAGTGAGTTTCTGAGAGCAACTGAGAGTTGCCATTTGGGCCAACAGAAGTTAAGGAAGAACTTGCACACTGCAGCAAGATACAGATACGTTATATTGGATGCAATATAAGAGCTCTTAGTTTGATGGTTGTGTTCTACAGACTTTGGTGTGTTTTTTTTTTTTTTCCAGTTGAAAGAAGGATGCACGCTATCTTTACCCAGACTCAAGAGTATCTGTTTGAATGTTTCACTGGTGATAAATCCCCCAATATGGCAAATCATCTAATTGCAAAAAGTCAGCGATGGCTTAAGCCGGTTACCTAAAATAACACACAAGCTGTGAGACAACTTCAGCTGTATAATACCTGCTTGCAGGGGACACGGCCAAGTGCAAAATTACTATTTCTCTTTTAAAGCTGCGTTTTCCTTCTTTGTTTTGGGCTACTTTCTGTGTTGTTGCTTTCTGGTAAGTACTGTTCAGAGGGATGTTCGTGCACGTCTAGAGTTTAGGGTAAACCCTCCCTGGCGTATCAGCGAGCTAGCCCTGGGCTCAGCCCTTGCCCTGCCTCAGGGCCACAGAGTATAACATGGCTACATGGCCGAATCAGGTCCCCTTGCTCTCCAGGGGAGGAAAGACTCCTGCCCTCCTGCTGGGCTCGACTGGGAAGAGCCTGCAGAGCTGTTTTTCACCTGTTGCCTATGTGAAAGCCCAGGAGGCAGCCTGATATTCTCCTTGCTTTTCAGTACAAATTTCCCTAGAGTTGGAATTTGGGAATAAAAATATCTCAAAAGCCTATTATGAGAACTCAAATCTGGATCCTGTGAAGAGTTAAATATGGCCTGAGTGGCTTCGAAGCGGAGGAGTGTGATGGCGCTCAGTGCCTGCAGCGTCAGGGTTTGGAGCGTGACAAGGGGAGACAGCAGGCAGGCAGGATTGCCATATATACTCTTAACTTTTTTGTCCTCCGTTATCTATTGCTCCAGTTTCTCTTTGCATTCAGTGTTGAGTCTGTATTCCCGGCGCTGGGTGATTGCTGGACGTTACTCCAGAGACGCCCGTGTCTTTGCAAGTACATCGCTATGTGGAAAGCTTTAGGTTTCCTTGACGTATGCGTGGCTGTATGCTCTTGCTTATGTAGATGACAGATAATGGGCTTAACTGGCCTGAGTTGTACTGTGTGGACAGCCTGGGTAGGGTTCATTGATCTCTCTGCTCCAGAGTGGATGTTGTTAATCACTTATCTTTGTTTCTTTGCTACGTTCCTGTTGTCTGTTCTGTGAAACCTAACTGGCACGTGTTTTGGATCTGGGTTACCTTCCCTCTGCTGCAGGCAAATATTCTTTATGTAGAAAATCGAGCATTAAGTGCGTTTGTGAAACATGCTGTTCTCCCTTCCCGCATTTTCTGGCACACTCCCTCGAGGAGTTATTATTAACTCTAGGTGCAAACTGCTTTCCAGGAAGTGATGTTTTTCCCTCATTCTTGCTCGTGGTCTGGGAAAGGCATAGGGATCAGACTGGAGCAGGAGCGCTGAAAATACAGAGGTGGGAACTCAGGTGCCTGGGGTAACCACTGGGAGGATTGTGGCTACTGAGGGAGGAGAACTTGATTTTTATGGACTGCTGTGCTATGACAAGAAGGTACATGAGTAGCTGGCAGGAATAATTATAGGAAGAAGCAGTAATATGAAAAAATTTCCTAGGATCAAGGAGAACGTGAAGATTGGAAATCATAATTGAGTTCAAGATAGAAATGATGAAAGTGCAGTCAGAACAGACAGTGACTTGGTTTGTTTAGAAAAGAGCTTAGAGCTCTCATTTCGGAAAACATAACAATATTCTACACTTTGAGCCAAGGTAGGTAAGCTTTATCCAGAGCGTTTTAATGTATAAAAAGATAAAACCAAAGTCAATGTCGACCAGTTCTGTTCAGTCTGTAGTGTTGCAGACCAAGGATTAGCACAGGTTTTGAGACACTATTTCTTACTGGTTGTTGTTGTGGAAGATGCTTAGGATAACTTAGCATTCATCAGAGAATGTTTAGAGATGGATTAAAATGAACAAACTGCAGTTATGAGTCTGAGGGATCTGAATGTAATGTGTTTGGGAGTGAAATTTACCCTGTGTCTGGCACACTCAGACTAAGGGATTGCCAGTGCTAGAAACAATGAGTTTTCTCAAACCTATTGTCCACCTAAAAGAACAGTTAAACACACTGTAGAGGCTTGAAAATTGGTTATTTTATCTATTTCTAATAGAGCGGACAGTCAGCATTTCTTTTTTTTTAATAGCACTGGCTTTTAAAATTCATACATGGGCTGAATTCACCGCATCTTTGGTGTGTCCTGGAGGCCGTGATGTCAAATTTGAGATACGTTTGTCGTGGACTTGATTTGGTGTGAAATTCTCCTGACCCTTGTACTGTTAGTTCATGTTGCAGCCTCTCTGCCAGCCTTTCTGCTCCCTGCAACTTTCCCATTTACCTGCAGCTCTTCCCTAGTAATTGCAAAGATGTTCCCTGAGCGTGTTACTGCTGAGCTCTGCCCTTCTGCGTGATTACATGCCTTATAAAATGCCTGAAGAGCTCTTTCTCTCTCTTTCTTTCTCTCTCTCTCTCTTTTTTTTTTTTCTGCTTTGCCCAGGAAAACAAATCACTGGGCTCAGTTTGAGTGATGGGACAAAGATTTGTGTTGCTGCTTGTTTCCTTATGCGGAGGCACGTCCTTGGTAGGAAAGCAGGCCGCTTGTTCCAGTGCGCTTTGCTTCCAGTGCAAGCAGCTGGTTCTAGCTAAAGGAAAGCCTGTGCTTTTCTATGGTGCGTATTCAGGAAGTGTTAGAAATGCCGAATGTAATTTTTATGACTCTCTTTCCTGTTAAAATTATTAATACTTAAATAGCCGTAAGGGAAGAGAGGGAAAGGCCCTGTGATTTAATTAATGCAGATTTTCTGCTCTGTGGAAAAACTCAGGCTGAAATACAAGAGATAACACACTGATTAGACTTTAAAAGTTACAACAATGCTGTGAGCTGCTTAAAAAATAAAACTAAACCCATCCAAACTGAAATGCTGTCAGGAACCAGATTTTAAACTGAGCAAAGCCAGAAGCTTTTTAAAGTGGAGGGGTGAGCTCCACCTCTGATGGTACCTTCAGGGAGAAGATCTGCTCTGTGCCTGGCCCTAATGACTTCCTCGTGGACTTCCCTGCTCTCCTGGCAAGGACCTTTGTTTGCCCCAGAGCTGGGGCTGAGCCGGCAGCCCGATATGCCTGGCTTTTTGTGAATAGTGTTGCCGCTCTCCTGCAGATGGGAGCCAGCCCTCGAGGACTCATGGTCCTACAAGAAATCAGTGGCAGAGCCAAGAACAGAGATGAGGTGACCAACCTACCAGCACAGCGCTCAATACGCTCAACCATATTGCTTACTGCGGAGGTACCTGTCGAACTGGTGGAAGTGTTTCAGTTTTCCCTCCAGGTTTCCTGTTTTTTGTCAGCCAAAGTTAAGACCTGGCAGTCAGTTTAACCTTGCAGTTAATGCCAAGAGCGTGTGATAGAAGCTAGGGGAGAACAGGAGCTATAGTTGGCTTCAAGGAAGGCTGGTAGCCTTTGGGACGTAGCCACATGAAGTGAACTTTGCTACCAGATTTTTTTTTTTCATAGAGAAGATGCTTTGTTTCTGATACGCTGATATTGTTTGTGTGCTATTAATATTTATTAAAGGCTTGAGAGCATGTGTGGCAGTGTACCAGGACCAGAGCAGTCGGGGCTCAGGTTTCCATGGCAGCAGGAGCACAGTCCTCTGCTTGCAGAACCAGAAAGGCTCTCTTTGGCAACCGCTCTCTGCGCGGTGGTTACCTTTTCTTTTTAAAGATAGATATGTAATTTAAAATCTCATTTATAAGCGCTGCAGAGTCCTGTTCATGCTGGGTCAGGAGTCTGCGTACTGTAAGTTTCTCTATCTTTTCTGGAGTTCTAGCCTGGTTTCTGTAGCTTCTGTAGTTGGGAGATTTCTTTGACTTGCACAACACCGAAAAGGAGGGAAAGATGGTATGTTTTAAAATCCTTTGAAATAGCTGGAAATTTCCTGTTGATTTCAGTTACATTTGGAATAGGTTGTGTTGTCACAGAGGCCTTTGCCTTTCCCAATAGTCTATAACACAGTTTTTATCAAGTTTAAAAAATGATTGTTGAACAGATTTGTGTGCACAAGTGCTATTAAACTGTAATTGTACTTTTTTGGTCATTCAGATAACTGCACAGAGTCCAGGTTTTAACTTTGTTTTGTATTTTAACTAACCTTGTTTTGTCCTTTTTGCATGCTTCCTTCCTGGATATGTAATATGTAGTATGATGTACACTGAGATAACATATTACTTCAGATCGGAGGATGAAAGAAAATCTTTGGATTCCCAGCCTCTGTCCAGCTGTGGATTACCTAGCAAAGACTTTCTGTCCATTTCTGCTTTCCATATGTAATGTTTAAGAGACTAAGTTCTCTAACTTTTCAGTTTTATTTTTGTAGATGTGGATGAGTAAGGTTCTAGGTTTCTTTCCTGATATGTTGCATGGGTCTGCTACCACACCGGTTGCTTGGCTTGCTGAGTTAGGAGTGAGGTATATCACAAAAGCTTACTGGATTCTCTGCTGGATTATTCCTTCCAGGTCTGATGCTATGTTGTGTGGTCCAGGGAAGTAGTTAAGGGCAGAAAAGTCAGAAACAGCGAGTGAATATGCTTGCAGTAAGAACAGATGATGGAGGCTGGCCATTTTGGATGTAAAATTGCAGCTATCCCTGTAATCATCTCCTCCTGAATCAAATCTGCATCTATGAAACTGCTTATAAACAAGAGGAATGTTTCTTTTGATAACAAATGTCTGTGTTGACAGACTGACAGGGCAAGAAGTATGCCTCCTTCCTCTGTAACTGAGTGGGTCTATTCATGTGAGTGTAGTTGTGTTACTCTGATTACACATTTGTCATCTGATGGCTACTTGGCAGTTAAGTTTTCTAGAAATCTCCACTATACAAATGGACTAAACATTATCTTATGGATGCTAAAACCAAGGCTTAGAGAAGTCATTGTTTGCCCAAGGCTGAAGAGTGATTCAACAACTCATTGTGAACATCAGTGACTCATCAGGAATGTTCCCAGTTTCTTATTTTCTGGTCTGTTATCGCATTGTTTTACATAGATAATCGTGTTCCTTGGATTAAGTGACTGTTCAAGGGTTTAGCCTCGGCCTTTGTCATGTATTTGTAAAATATTCAGAAAACTTCCAATGTTCAGATAGCTCACCGTTTCAAAATTTTCGTTTGGTATTGGGTCAAATGCAATAGATGTTTCAAACAGATCTCCCCTTATATGTAACATCAGAGACCCACGCAACAAGAACATTTGAGCATGAGTTGTATTGATGGTACTTAAATTGCTTTTCATAATGGACTTTATTTTTAGATGTTCTAACATATCCTAAAGAGTATTAGCGTACAGCCTGTATAAAGACAGGCATCAGTGCGGCCACCTTGAGGATGTGGTGCAGCAGCACCTGTTTAATTCTGCATAGAAACGCAAAACCTGAGGCTAAGGCAAAAGAGGAGATTCCTCTCCATAATTCTGACTGTTGTTTCTTGCTAACCTCACAGAAAACAAGAACACATCCAACTGCAAAAAGACTTATGAGCAGCCTGAATCCTCCCCCAAGAGCGTTTCACTGTTAACGCTAAACTAACGTTCAGAACAAACTCTGTAGGCTTTATGATTGGAGAAGCCTTGAGTTGCACCCATGGCTGCTTGTTAAACTTCCCATTCAGCTGGTCAAAAGTCCTGTTTCTGAGGCCGCACACGGCAGATTTCTCGTGCTGGAGAAGGCTCTTCCCACTTCCCTGCAGGCCACTGTCCCACCCTGCTTCCTTCAGCTCTTGCCATGCCCACACCTGGCTGTTATCTGAGCGCTGTGGAAGGCATTCATCGCTGGTGCCCCCTTGCCTTAGCGTATTAGTTGTAACGTAGCCACGGAGATGAGGAGATTGACGGGAACCGAGGACTCACTACTGTTACAATTTTATTGCTGCCTCTTTTTCCTTCTTCCTTTCTTGTCCAAAACAGTAAAGATACAGTTTACTCTGCCTAACTCATAAGTTTGCACAACAATATACGTTTTTGGCTAGTTTGGTAAATAGGGCTGCACCCTAAGCTTGGTGGCAGTAACGGGGGGCATTTAAATTAGCTGGATGCTGCAGGGTGATCCCGTGGGGCTTGTTATGCAGTTTAGGAGGAGTGACTTGTAGGGGCACGTTTCTCTGGTGGACGATCAATAATCGGTTTCAGGGGGAAGCTGCGGAGCGCTCTGCCAGGATCGCGTTGGTGTATTGAAATTGCTTGCTGTACTCGAAGGAATTGCTCTCCTGGGTGAAGCCCGTCCTCCTTTACGTGAGAGCTCTTAAAACTAGGGCAAAGTTCTACTTTAATAAAATAAAACATCATATACGTTTGCCCCAGGTGCCAGTGTATGTTGATCCCTGAAGTTAAATAAGGATTAAGGAGGTGTGTTGACAGGTGCCGAAAAGGATCGCATCTGTCTGCCTCTGGACTGGAAGGCCTCTGACTGCGGCATGGCACTTCAAAGAGCGGGAGTGCAGAGCAGGGGAGCAGTCCTGGGGCCGGGAGCATAAGTGCAGATGCTGCCTTCTAGAGGGACATGATAAACAGCACAGTTAACTTTGCTTCACGGTTGCGGACTTCATGAAACGAAGCATGTGCCTGAGCAATTTGGGGCCTTTCCCAGGCTTGCACTCAGCATCTCGTTGCCCTGCTAGAATCCTTTTCCTTCAAGTCCTTCTGCATGAATTTAGCCATTAATTCTCATGGCCCTGTTTCTCAGAGTGCCTGTCCTCAGCAGCAATGCGCAAAGCTTTTATTAACACCTTCCCTCGCTCGGGCATCGAAGGAGCCTCTGCAGAGCCTGGCTGAGAGCAGCAGGCATTTCTTCCTGTTTGATTTCGCGCAAAATTGTGTGAAGGCTGTTGGCCTTGTTTTGTGCAGATACTTGTGGAAAGGATTAGTAGCTTTTGCACAAATGCTGTACTTAGGCTGCTAGAAGCTGCGTAGTTCACCCTGCCCGGGTCTATTCAGTTCACTTGCATTATATTTAAATTTTGAGAAGGAAATTCAGCTTGAGACTCCTGTTAAGGAGTCAGTGCTGGAGAGACTGGAGCTGACATGGAGCTTCTCGCTTGTCTACTATTAACTCCAATTCACTTCAGGTCAGTTGTGCACCAAATTGTTGGGCATACTGCGAACCGCTTGGGCAAACGATATCCTAGATGAAGTGCGTTCAGAGGAAAACAAAAGCCGTCCCCTGTCGTTGAGCAGATCTGATCCGCCAGCTCTCAAGAGCGGGACTGAGGCATTAACGCAGCACTGCGGGAGATGTTGCGTTACTGCAGCCAGCTCCCGTTTGTGCTGGGGTTAACGGGGACCTCGGCGTTCAGCACAGCGTAGGAACGTTTCAAGGAAACTAGAAGCTGCAGTGCCCTTTTGGGGGACTGTTTTCCTTCCTTCTCTGTGCAAGCTGCATAGCTGTGAAAGGGTTTGCCCTGACAGATAGGGTGGTGCAGTGTTCTTTGTTACTGAAAGGTTGCTTTTCTGTACTGTATTGTGCAGGCTTTGTTATTCTATCACGGGGTTAATTTTAGAGCGCAAAAAAGATGCTTCTCTGGCAGTGAAAGCCACAGTGGGGGAAGAACAGCCAAGTACAGGACCTAATTTGCCTCCTTAACTTCCCACCAGATTTTTTTTTTTCTTCTCGCGGAGGAGTGTGAGTTTGAATGTGGCGTTAGAAGCACATGCAGTAACTGGTTTAGGGCAGAATTGTGCCACGTCACTTTTGAATAGTGTTTTCTCCCTGCTACTTATTTATACTGAAGTCTTTTGGGTTTAGGCTTCCTGGGGGAAAGAAGCAGCCTAGGACAAGAAGCTACCGTTCCCAAAAGCTGTTCTTTAAAATTATGGCTGTTACTTTGACTGTGCTACACCTGCAAGTGCGTGTTGTCTCTGCTTGAGCTGGTCAGGTGGCGAATTTCTTGCAGACGAGGCTATTCAGTACATCAGCTTGACCTTTTACATGGAAAAAGGGCATGCATAAATGTTATTTTTATATGATAATCAATTGGGATTGTCCATTACTCTGTTCTGTTTTTTTTTCTCTGCTTTTATAGTAGCAGAGATTTTTATGGCAGTTTAACATATAACAATCTTGCAGGTTTCACTGTCTGACGTTGGATAAATTAGCTTCAATAGAGGGGAAGCAGAAAAGATTCGTGCCTGTTTGCTCCCTGCGTGTGTGCATGAGAGAATTGTATTCCTTGCTGCGTATGAATTGGAAGATCCAGGATCTCCTTTCATTCTCAAGTGCGAGAAATCAAAATACTAAATGATGGGTGTCCTGGGATATGTGGAAGGCGTTTGCTGTGCGTTCTGCTCTAATTGATTGTGCTGTTTTGCACGGTTTCCTTGCTGCTCCGGTCTATGGACAGTACCATTCCCTGAAGTTGAAGTTTGAAGAAAGAAGACACTTTGTCTCTGTGGCAGTTCAGCCTGATCTCGCTGCCAGTCTGACATCTCTGGGGAAGTGCTCATCTGTTATTTCTAATTGCTGACTAACAACTTGCCCCTGTAACTTCACAGCACAGGCCTGACCTTTCCACTGCCAGCGCAGCTATATTCGGATTGACGTCACTTAGCTGGTGAAAGTGCTGATGTGGACCCAGAAAGGCTGAAAGGACACAGCTTTGGGTGGTCCGTTGTGCTGAGAGGAGAGCCTCAGTCAGCCTTGCGAGCCTCCAGCATACCCAGGGCACGGCCTCCCGTCTGGGCAGCGTTTCACCCCGCTGTGTCTGCCTCTGGAGGTGGGCAGGGAGGAGAGCAGCGTTGTCAGGGGAACGT